GTTACAAAGATGTGTCTAAGAGATGAGCCAGTATGTTGAAAATGAATATCATTCCAATTTGCAAAGCTAGCCTCAGACATTCCAGTCCGCAAAACAAATCCTGTATTAGAGACAGTAAAGCTTTTGAAAACTTTACAAAGAGAGAATTGTTCAAATAATTCAAGTTGTTGTTTGTTTCTTTTGGTCAGAGTGGGGCAAAAATAGGAACCCGTCCCTTTAAAATTACTTCTCTAGCACACAACTTCTTTGACGTTTTATTGCCAGCCCGAGCTATACAAGAGCCAAAATGTCCATTTTTTAAAATTAAAGAATTTATCAGTGAAATTTCTTTGGAAGAGAAAAATTTAACTATTCGACCAATCAGCCAGTTAACTGTCAATAAATTCCAGCTGATGTTGGCTAAAAAGTAAATGTCAATGTCATAAACAAGATGCTGTCTCGCTTTGGTCATTCCAATCAGGATGAAGAAACTTAAAGTAAGCCAAAGGGTAAACTTCTTCCTCCTCAGACCTCCTGTTGCTTCCACAAAAACACAGTTCATGTCTCTCGCCACCTATTTGTGAACATGAAATTCCTGTCTTCCTTTGTCCGAGCACTTCTTCCCCCTCGATAACTCTCCGCTCCCATTTGAGTGCCCTTCACTGTCTGACCTCCAGATGGAGACACCACAGGGAGGAGAGGGTGATAGAAAGAAAATTAAAAAGTACAGGGGGGTTAGCAACGCAGTGATAAATAGAAAGCGAAGGAGGGATGCAGAGATGGTCAGGAGACATGGCCAAATATAGAGGGATATAAGGAGGAATAGGTGCGATATTACATGTAGTGATAAAGGCTGTGAAAGTGGGCCCATGTGAGGGCGGCTCTGAGTCAGCCATGCCTGCCTGCCTGGCCAAACCAGCATCTCTGCTACAACGCGCCTTTAATTATCCATGATGTGTGTGTGCTATAGAGAGTGTGTGTGTGTGTGTGTACAAACATATGTGTTTGAGTTTGCACTGCTGAGTGTGTCGCTTCCATGAAATGTCACTGTTGATGAAAAGCCTGTTAATAATAAATGATAACGTGCGTATAAGAGAGAAGCACAGTCAGAGCAAATGTAGGCCTTTTGGTTAAAGTTGAGGAATCAAGACGAATAATGATGAGTGTGAAAATGATAGAAGAGGCATGGCGTCACATAAATAATGAATAATCCAACTGATAATAGCTTTATTTATACGTCTTTGTTGAGTACGAGTTCTGGACACTGAAAAGAGTTTGCCTGAAACCAATTCACCGTGATGCTGTGACACACAGTGAATGATGAGTTAATGGGAAGACGTCGGTTTCACACTCGTGCTTTTACAGACCAGAATATTAAACTAGTGGGAGCCTCGAAGGCTACAAAATCACGCCTATGGCAAAAACTGCACTTCCTCTAATGGCCACTTGAGGGCGGCTCCAAAAGTGAGTCCCCTTAAAAAGCTAAACTTTACAGCAGCAGTCCCCAACCCCAGTACCAGTCCGTGAGTCGTTTGGTACCGGGCTGTGAGAGTTGAGGCTCGGGTGTGAAATT